CTATGACGACAACTCTATATGTTAGCAACAAAAGGAAGGTATGACTAAGTAGAAGATGGAACTGAGAAGAAAGAACGACAGAGAACAAGAGACGAGGTGAGACAACGACTAAGGAGAAATCAGAGAAGATGAGATGATGCTAGAAAAGAAGGTCGATGAACACCGAGAATGATGCACGGCGAGATCGACAGACGGCGAAGAGAGGAGGAGAGAGAAGGAAGAAGGTGTGCGTTTAGGTATGTTAAAAGGTAGAGTTAATATTAAATAGGGTAAAGTTGTCATTAAAATTTTAAGAAGGGTAAAATTAAAAATAACAAGAAAGGAGGGTATTTTTAAAAAGGAGCATCCCAAAAGGGGTATTTCTAACAAATTCTCTAAAAAATTTGATGTTAGTATATTTTTAAGTAATAATTTTTTTAAATACTCCATCACAAGTCATAAAAATAACCAAATTTTATTTATGTTTTCAATTTTAAATATGCATCATATTCATTTTTTATATATATAATGTTAAAATATAACAATTGAGGTTATTAATCATACATTTGAATTTATGAATATTTATCTATAATATTTGTATTTTATAGTCAAATTTCTGGTTTCTAAATATAATATTCATTTTGAAACTATAATTTATAATATCTATTAGAGTAGTCTTATGTTTGTAAAAATGTGTCAATGCATATTTTTTACAAACATAAAAAATAAAAAATACCACTATAAATTAATAATTATTAATTTACAATATAAAATAATAATTATAGATAAATTAATATCACTATAAATTAATAAAATACCATAATCCCAACATTATTAATTTATAGAGGTTTTACTGTAACTGGTATGATACGAGAACATGAAATTTTAATAGCTTAACTTAATTTCAGCTTTCCTTTTTATTGCAAATATTAGGACATGAAATAACAGGTACAGAAATGAAATGTATATTTTAGAAAATTAAAACCATTATCTACACTATTCCTAATAAAATGCAGGAGGAAAATTTGGAGTAACGAGAATTTTGGGTAGCTTAAATTGAAGCCGGACATATGTGGACCTACTATTTATTAATATAGACTACATGAGATAATGGGTTCGGAGAGAAATACAGTAATTCAGAAAATAAAAACTATTATCTAAATTATTTTTAATAAAATAACAAACAAAAATTTAGGATAACGCGAACTCAAGTAAGACATATACGGACATACAATTTACTAATGTGGATTATGCATAATGGATCTTTTAATTTGTTGCAGAGAGTTTACAAAAAAAAAAAAAATCTGTTGCGGAGCATGCATAGCAGAAGGGTTTGACCCGCTTGAAGAATAAATTTAGTTTATCTAGGAAGGGAAGTTTTAATTTTTTTTTCTTTGTTTTCATCCGGTTTGATAGTCACGGGTTTAACAGGAAGTAAGCTGATTACTAATCTAGTTCACATTCAATCTGGATCTGCTATCCTGTCGATCCAAAATTTATTGTGAAACAAATATTATTATTTCAAACATTCACAAAATTGATAAAAACCAACCAATATATGTTTATGTTAAAAATGTTATAAGAAATAAATATATCTACAAATAAGTCTTAATCCTTGATCTATTTTTTATTTGTTGGACTAAAATTTACGATCTCAAATGGGTAAATTATTATTAAAACCATGGTTATAAAATAGAAAAACATGACATATCTAGGAAAGAACGAGACGAGAAGGGTTCTTGTCCCAAAATAAACAAACCACTTTTCTTTACTTTTTTTTAATGTAGTTGATAACAAAACAAAATCTTATCGTTTTTTTTTTGGTCTAAACTGAATTAATAACAAAAAAATATTGAACTGATACGAGTTCAGATTATGAATTTAAATATTATTCCTAATATAATTACATTTATAAATATAACACCGTATGTACGTAATATATTGCAAACGTGATAGCAAACTTAGTTTTTGAAATCAATCCCGGATGTATGTGCCGGTCCGAATCTAGTGTAATGTTAAACTAGAGTCGAAGAAAAATCGTTTCTAGAACTAGTGCGACAAGAGATTGAAAGGTTTTTTAAACTAGATTACATAGCAAAAAAATTAAACTCGAGTCCAAAACAAGAGTTGTAGGCCATTTGTAATAAAATCAATTTTGGGTTATACTCTTTTATTTTATAATATTTGCATAATTAAACCCATGTCATTTGAATAAATAACGAAACTTTAAAGTAAATTTTGTAATTAAATCACAAGCAAATAGCAAAATTGGAACCAAATATTTATTACATTGAAACAATTTCCTAAAATCTCACCTTAGTAAATCAAATCTCTCTCCAATATATTTATATAATCTTATTTGTTTTAAATTTATATTATTACATAAAATATATGTATATGTATATACATTTTTGAAGTACATTTTGTATTAAAATCGATTTTAGGTTATAGCCTATTATAAATAGGACTAATATGCTTCCAACTAAAAATGAGCCAAAAACTTGATTTCTTAAGGCATCCAAAATTAAAACTTTTAAAACTTTAAAACTTATATATACTATTAATTGGGAAGCACAACAAATAGCTAACACAGCCCCTCAATTTCTTAAAAACATTCATGAAAAATATACAAGTTGCCAAACAAAATTAATGACAGAGAAATCTTTTTAAAAAATAAATAAATAATAAAAAGCAGAAACTACCTATATTTATGGAAATCATATTAATTTTGGAGAATTTGTTAGTAATACCCCTTTTGGTATACTCCTTTTTAAAAATACCCTTATTTTTTTTGTCATTTTTAATTTTACCCTTCTTCAAAATTTTAGGACCATTTTACCCTTTATTTGTTTTCCTCGGTGTTATGATTTTGTTCCACGCGACAAAGGGATAAACGCAGCGGCGGAGTTGACGACGGAGCTGCCGACAAAGGAGGCAAAGGCCACGAGGATTAGCGACGACATCAATTACGCTCTCAAATGTTTCAAGGATTAAACCATCTGACTATGGAGCCTGCACCTTAGAATCTTAATCATGACCTATAACTCCCATGGCTGCGACGTTCATGTTAAGTCGGCGATGGGAATCAGAATTTTTGTAGCTGAAGCTGTGAAGAAGAGAGCTGCGATCAAGGTGTTGAAGCAGCATATCGATCCTATAACGATGTGGAGGAAGAAGATAATGGAATTCGTCCTGGTAAGGTTAATATGAGGAATCGTCATTACCATTAGAAGGATCTTCTTGTTTTGTGTCAAATTAAAAGATTCAATATTGTTGAGAAGTTTCATTTTAGAGGCTTATTTTGTTGAATTTTATCATGGTGGTCACCTTGGTAGGTTTGTGTTTAGACTTTGTCAGATTTTTAAAAGCTTGAGCTTATCTATGGCATGGGTAATTCGAGAAGCCATCTAAGAAACAGAAGGTTACGACTTGCCTGGTTTTAAATGGTGATTTTGCTATGATTATTAACTCTGATGAGAGACCTATGTTCAATTATGTTATTTCCAATGATAATTTTGGTTAGAACTCATTTGGTGTTCTGTTTTCATAATTGAAATTCACTAGTTATCTGATAACGACGAGGCCCAGCAGCAGGCTCTGGATAATAACGAGGCCCAGCAAGGGTACATTCTGCGTCGTGACCCAAGTAAGAGAAAGGCCCAAAGGCCCATTAGGTTCAAATAAGAAGGAAAGAAGATCCGAAGCTTCTGGAAAGCGTTGATGAACGGATTGGAGCGTTTTACCGGAGTTGCACTTTTGATTATTGTAGTTAGATGAATAAACTGTGGTTAGCAGTAGCCAGCTGGAGGCTAGCCACTTGTCCTTGGGGTCTAACGACTTTGTGTGAGAAAAGCTGTATTAAGTAGAGTGTAAGGGTTTGGACTCTTGTATCGAGAGTTTGGGTGAAATCTTGGATTGTAAGGGGGAGGAAGGGATTCGTAAGTCCCTTGGCTTGTAATCGTTTCCTTATTAATAAAGTATCGTTATTTCCATTGATCTTGTTAAGTTAGCACGTTTATTCTAATCAAATTGGTATCAGAGCGGTACGATATCTGTGACATCACTCGAACATAGCACCACAAAAAATAGAGGAGTTGGAGAAGATCGTCGGTGACCTGCAGAAGTAATATGTTTCTCCTAGAATCGACACTCTTGAAGTTGAGGGAATGATGGGCTTTGCACCTAAGGGATCGGGGGATCTCTTAGATCAAAGGATGTGGAGCGAATGGTCGCACAAAGGTTGCGGATGAGCCTTTGATTTACCGGACTTGGACTTGCCTATGGATATTACACACCAAAGAAAAGAACAAGAGAGAGTGATCTAACTTAGAAAGAGTTTTTGATAAAAGATTAGATGAGTTACAAATGAGAGGTAGAGGGGGATTATATAGTAGAAGGGAAAGGGAGAGAGAGGTGCCTTGGAAATACACAAGTGTCTTGGAAATACACTCATGCAAGACCATGGACCAAGTCTTGGAAATAACAAAACAATAAATGCAAGAATGAAGAGAAAAGATAGAAAATGGGCCAAGGCAAAGTGTTGGGCCTTGGACCCACGAATTTGGTTTGATAAAAGGCTTTGAAAGTGTTACTTAGGCCTCATTAAAAACCTTGTCAAGAAAACCCAATGGGACAAAACTTGACAAGGGAAAAAGAGTGCATAAGCAACACTTAACCCTTTACCGAACCTTTTGAGCCGGGATGATTATTGAGGGACTTGAGCCACGTCTTCTTGCTTCTTGTCTAGCTCCCTAAGTCTTCCATTGGTTGATGGGTTGAGCTCCTTAAGCCTTGAGCGTGTTAGAGGACCTTCCGGGATGATTAGTAGTTCCTCCGCTTCGAGCTGCTCCTCGGCGACTTGTTGCTCCTCTTCTTCGTGTTTCTCCTCGTCGTTTTCGTGCTGG